AGCTACCTCTGCGGGCACGTCTCCATGGGCTTCTCACTAGGGCTTGTGGCCTGTTTCTCTATGTAAAGTCTTCTTGTGACATGGTGTGACCAACACTGAACAAGGAGCGTGTGAGGAGACTATCAACTCACTACCCACGCTCAGCCTATTTGCTTAGTTGTAGCAACTCAATTTAAGAGACTAATTAAAATAATTTGTGGTTTAATCACTGGCTCAAAAATACAAACTTCGTGGTCTTATTTAAATGCTAACTATGATTTTAATAGCTGCTGGCAGTTGGCCTTGATAATATAAGCTTGATCATATAAGTTGCATGATATAAAATGTGGTTTTAAAAAAATACAGTTTTTAAATATGAAATGCTTAGAAGACGCAATTCTATGTATAACACAGCAGATATAGCAGTGTATTTAAGACTAGTTAAAGCTTTGAAATTAGAAAAAAATCAGGATTCAAATCAGCTTTAATACTTACTTCCTAGACAGTACAGACATAGGCTATTAAACCTCAGTGTCTTCTTCCATAAAATGGGCTCAGTATACTAGTGACCTTGTAGCAGTGGTGTGTAAGAATTACACAAATTCCCTTCTCTTTAGCAGACACGGACTGTAAGTGTTCTCATGGAGCAGAGAAAGTAATCCCTCATGATGCTTGTGATGTTTATGATATTGGGATTGGAGATCTGACAAGCCAAAGCATATTTAATCTATAAATGCCCTACACACAATGTACTTGGTACTCTAAACTCAGTGAGTACCATGTGGAAAAATCACTCATTGCAAAATTAATAAATATTACTGTGTTTTATTACACATGTAATTCTTTTATGGGCTAAAGAACTTGGAGTGCTACAGCCACATACCCAAAAGAAAGCAGAGAGCCCAAGGCAGATGCGCAACTTCCACCCAGCAAGGTGCTCAGTGTAGAGGCCTTCTGAAAGGACTGCAGGTTCCTGAGATGTCCATGTTCAATGAATCTCTTGCTTTTTGCTTCATGAAGAAAGCGCAGAGACACGTGAGGATCTTGAGTCTCGGCTGCTCCTCTCCCCAACTTGGGTGCTGAGGTTTTAGTCTCCTACTCTACCTGAGAGCACGGTGCTCTGACCTCGAGCAGGTGGTAGTGCGACTGACCTCCCAGGCTCTCCTGTGCCCTGTCCAGTCCACAGCCCACAGCTGGCAGTCTGCTGCCCGGGCTGCGGCAGGTCCTCCGCCGCACAGCCTCAGCCTGGGGACTTTTGATTCCACGTTTCTGATCCAGAAATACAGAACGTTGCACGTGGAGGCCAGCAGGAAAGCTTCTGCGGGAAGGTTTGCACAGATCAGGCACTTCACTAGCGTACGGTGGGGACCAGCAGCCAGAAGCCTGACCAGCCAGGCCAGGGAGAAAGCTAAGTTCCCTTTGCTCTTCCTGCTCTCCGCTCCCCGATTGCTGGTGTCGGTCGCTGGGACTTGGTTCCCTAAAGCTTCTCTGCATAGACTGTCATTTTTTTCTTGATGAGTCTGTTGCTGTGGGTTTTCTTATGTGTGATTGGAAACAAGTCCTAGGTCAGAACTGCTTCCTCACATGACCTGAGACTAAAGACTTAACCGTCAATAGAAATGCCAGCTGCACAAGAAGGCCACTGGGCCCCCAGGGGCCAGCCAGCCTCGCGAGAGAACTGCTCACTTGGAAAGTCTGCGGGCAGCTTCCTGCAGGACGGTTGTGCTTTGCACACTTAAGGACAAAAGTCCCAATTCTGTAATAAAAAAAGAAAATTATTTTGAAAGACCCTGCAGTGTAAAGGCATGAGCGTAATGTTTCAAATGGCTATGTTCTTTTCCCTTACAACTCTCACCTAACTTTACAACTCCACTTCCTCCATGTAGTGATGACAAAATGAAACTGAAAAGAAATGTGTAGATGCTCAAGGTCAGAAAACTGAGCAAGGGCTTGAGGTTAGTGTAAAATTCCGAGACACGAAAGTTCACTTTCATGCAACAAAAGGACTTGCAGCTTACCCAGAGGTTCAGTCAGTAGAACTGTCTGCACACTACTAAGTGTTCACTACAGCGCTGTGAGCATGATGTGGGTGTCCACAGAGTGCTGATGCGTCCATGTGCAAGCTGATGCGGGCGTGTTGTGCTCACGGCTCATAGCAGACTCTGCATGTTGTTTGTTTTTCCAAAACAAAATCTCTTGACAACCAGTAAAGCTAAGAATATTCCATTTCCAGGTTTCAGTGACAGTGTCACTGGCAAGGATCAGAGCCGTGTGCAGGGTGGAAAGTGAGGCCTAAGGCATGCTCAGGGAGAGAACTCAAGCTGGGCTGAGTGGTGTAGACCTACAGGCTCGGAACCCTGAGGGACTGAAGCAGGAGGACTGCAAACCTGAGCCCAGCCCGGGAAAAGGCAGTGAAACCCAGCCTAGGCAGCAGGAAGGATGGGGCTGAGCAGGCAGGAACTCGTTTCTGATAGGTTAGAATATTTAAATCAGAAATGGAAACTAAAAAGGAGCCCATGGCCTGTGGCATATGCCCTCTGGAGCAGGCAACAGGCTGGGAACACAGGGCCCTGTGGCTGCCTTGGGCAGCTGGGTGGGTTTCTTGGAATGACTCAATGTCAGCCAGGCCCACGGCCACCTCCACAAGTGGGGCCAAAAGCAGTACTTCACAGAATACTGAAATTATGAAAATTCACAGGGAGCCATTTATTACATAGGCCACAATAAATATTGCAGAAACATTAATTCTCATTAGTACAATTTAGAGAGTTTTCTAGAAAATTCAAAATACACCGTTGACATTAGCATTATTCAGTCAAGGAGGAATAATTAAGAAAAGAAGGAATTTCTTCCTTCTCAATGAAACAAAAATCTCATTAATATTCATGAGCAAAGAAATACTTTTTTATTACAGATAAAGGAATTATGTGACTTAGATTTACCACAAATTGGCTGAGAAAAGTAATGTAGCAGCAGGAAATCTAGTAATAGGAAAAAATCACTGAATTAATGGGATGATATTTGTTATATTTGGACACAGAAAAATAAAATACTTAATTGAAGACAAGTTTGTAAAACAAAATCTAAATGTAAAAGCTATGAGCCCTACAATAATTATATTTAGTTCTAAAAATATGAGATAAATCAATTTATCTTAGAACTTTGGTCCTTCTGTGGTTGACATCACTTCATTTATTCATTAAGTAGTACTTATGTATTAATGGGATAGTAGAGATTGATCAGACATTGGTTTATGAGTCATAAAGCAGATATATACTACTTGCTTTAAAATCTAAATAGGAAGCATAGATAAAAAAAATCAAAAAGTATTATGAGAAAGGGTATAAAAGAAAGTGCTCCACACCGAAGAGTTTGGAAAGTGACTTTAGTGTATTGCTAGCAGGTTGATAGGAGCCAGTTTCAAATCATCAGCCCACAGTGAGTTTTGAGTTGAGATGAAATATAGTTTACAAGCAAGAAGTGTAAAGCTGGTGGTTATTTAGTGATTGGCTACATGGATTACAAGAATCGAGTCATATGTTGTCAGACAGATTTGTTGTATTCAAGTTTACTTAAAAGGAATTGTTTAGACAGGAACTTCCTGGGATGGAGGGGACCCGAGCTGAGTGAGTAGAACTGAATGCACCTTCCACAGGGGCGGTGTATTCCGAGCACGAAGGCCTTGAAGCAAGCTGAAAGAAAACTAAGTGAATACATATATTAAGTAGAAGAAGCGTAGACACTACAGCTGGCTGTGGGCAAGCTGACCTTGCTGGCTATTTGGAAGAAGTAGCTGGGTACAGACACTCAAGTTCGGCTGAACTTACCGGTCTAACTGTGAGGCAAGCAGCGGAAGTGTGATCACGGGCTATCAGTTTACCTTTAATTTCTACTCCAGGATTTATAAAAGCTTGCTATTACATTGTATTTTTTGTATCAGTGATTGAACTCAGGACCTTGCACTTCCCAGGCAAGCACTTTTGCCACTGAGCTATCTCCCCAGCCCTACAACACAATGGTAAGGCACGTAAAACCTGACCTCAGGTTTGTCCAATGAGGTCAAAAAAAAGTTAAGCGAACCCATCAATTCAGAGGAAGGAATACATGCCAAAAGATCAAACTACCATCGTCACTTCTGGCTACGATCAAGTGCAAAATGTCAAACAGCCATACGACCACTGACACCTGATTTTTACAAGATGTGCATTGAAGTTCGTTAAAACAAATGTGACTGGGAAACTGGAACATAGAATAACCTACCCCAGCTGGGATGGTGGTGCACATATTGATTGCATAGCTTAAAAATATGCATTTGTTGGGCCTGGAAGACAGCTCCATTTCATAAGCGCGCACCTGGCAAGCCCAAGGTCCCGAGTTTGATCTCTGGTACCACAAACAAATAAAATAATAGGCATTTGTAAAAATATTTCTCAATATGATATTAAATTAGAATGTAGAATTTCTAGACAAAATTCATTGTTCTGTAACAATAAGAGAGCAAGACATTTCATCCCAATATGTTTTATAGCAGGACAATTTATCTTCTAAAAATTAGTAATAATAAGATCACTAATAAAGCAATAGTTGTATCATTTTGACATTCTTCAGTTAACCACCAGGTGGAGCTCTGTGAATTGAACAAATATTATAAATTGATTATGGAAAGCATTTTTTCTGAAGTTTATTAATTTTCTATTGCCAATACTTAGAGTTCATCAGAAAACTCTTATGACTCAAAATAGTTCGGTTTTTATTAAAGACGAGATGTGAAGTTCCTTGATTGATATAAAACATGGTAGCAAGTTGGACTGCAAAAAATCAAAGTAATTTTGTAGTTACTTTATAATTTATCAAAATACGTGTTTCATTGCTAATAGACATGCGTTCCTATAATTGAAATCAAGAATATGTAAGAAACATTAATTTAAAACTTCCCTTTAATCAACTTAGTACTAATTATTTTTTTAACGACTTTTTCCCTTTTGTTGTATGTTTGTGTGTATGTGTATGTTCTTTTCCAGCACCTGAAACTAAGAAAGGAGAAAAGGTCCCCACAGCAGGTGAGCACCGCTGGTGACACTTAACACTCGAATTCCTGTTCCGTTTTCTGACCAAGGCTTGCTGTGCAATCAGAGGGCAAGGTCTTCAGGTGCCTGAAATATTCAAATCTACTGAGGCGCTCTCCCCACGCATTGTAAGGCTATAAGCACCAAAATTAAATCTTTTCTGAAATTAACACAGATTTCATGCTGTCTGATAGCCTTTTGGGGATAAATTCACCAAACTACTAGAACCATTGTCAGTTGCTTCTCTTGGTTTATTTAGCGGATCACTAAATACTGTTACTGGGGCAATTTGCCCTGAAAATATTCAGCTATAGCATGGTAAGTGTCTAAAATACATGATCTGTTGAGCCTTATATTACAACATGCAATTACTTTTGACTTTTTTTTTTTTTTTTTTTGTATTTTAGAGAAGGGTCTATAGGGTGTTCAGGGTCTCACTACTAGATCATACTTGTAGTGATCCGCCTGTTTACAGCCTTCCAAGAGTTGGGATTACAGGCGCGCACCACCACACCCAGTCTCAATTGCAGTCTCAGCCTGCCCCGGGGGTGGGGCTGGCACTGCAGGCCTGGGAATCGAAGCCCCGGTTCTTGCTTCTGCTTGTAAGCACTTTAATCTGCTGAACTATTTGGTCAACCTAATAGTTAGGTTGCATAGTTACATCTTTTAAGTAAAAAAAAAAGTGATCATTTTAAGTGGCTATATAATTTAAAAGCATGTATTCTGTGTCAGATCAAAGGAAAAATTAACAATTTTAAACAGCTTTGAAAAATGCATATTTGAATTTAAATGATACATTGTATATATCAAAAGTTATCACTGAACTTCACACACATCTGCAGGAAAGGAAAAACTATGTATGAAAATTGTTGTGTTATTCACATCTTCTCTGGGTATTAGTGAAAGTTTTGATCAGATAAAAGGAACATTATGTTGCTCCTTTCTAAAGCATAATATTATCTTTATACCAATATTGCTATTGGTATAAAGATGAAAAAATAATGCATGGGCTATAAATTGGCTATTATTAGTTTACATTAAATATTTATAATTGTTTTATGTGATTTACTTTTGACTTCCTGGAAGGAAAGAAAATTAGTATTAATGTCATTTTTATAAAACCTAATCAACGATTTATTGAAAACATATATTATGCTGAAGTCACTGCCAGAATTGTGCCCGATGGTAGAAAATTTACCCACAAGTGATAAGACCCACTTTCTGTTCCAAAGGGTACAAGTGGGGACACGGCCATGAATTATTTAGAGAGGGCTGGGAGGCGGCCTGTAGCGCAGCGCGCCCGGGATGGGGAGCAGCTGTCCTCAGCAAGGAGCGAATGCTTCATGCTGAACCGAACGTTCGGGATGGCACATGAGAAAGGGAGCCCGGAGATGGCTGTAATCTGGTGCCCACAGTGTGGGCGTCAAGCCGCTGAGGCGTGGATTCGGCTTCTTACCGCTCTCTCTGGGGGATGAGGATCGCAGGCTTCTGCTCAGTTCCTGGCGTATGCATTATGTGAAGGTCGTCGCGCTCCCTTCGCAAGGCTTTCCATGAACACTGGGATGCCTGCCCTCAGCACCGGGGAGATGCTCCCTGGCGGCTCTGGTAGGAGGGAGCGGGCAGCCTCCGTGAGAGCTGGCGAGCGCAGGACCAAGCCTGGAGGAGACGAGGGCCAGGAGAAGCAGAGCGCGGCAGGAGCGCAAGGGAGGACAGCCACGTGAAACCGGGTCTTGAAATCTTGGAAGAGGGGCTTAGGAGGCCCCCGAAGTTTAGATCCCTCACTGCGAGATCAAAGGGAAGAGCGGGCTCTGTCTGTCTTAGGACGCCACGCAGAGTAAAATCCTGCAGCAGGAAATTGGAACCAGGGATTCGAATCGAAACCCTTTTAGGATAACCTAAGTGCTATGGAATCAATGTGGGAACGACATAAAGGCGCTAGAGAGAGGGGGCAATGACTTGGGATATTTATATTACACTGAACTCATTTACTTTCAAAATTATGCCCGGTCACGTTGAATGCTCTGGGAGGGATGACTGTTAAAGTCCCTAAAAATCACTCAGCCTTGAAGTCTATGGAAAAATACTAGTGACACTCTGTCGCACATACTTCAGGCATCTGAGTGCACAGGCTGTTAAAGCCCGGCGCCCTCTCTGCTCTGTGCTATAGCGGCTTGCATTTTGCCAGTCTGCTCCGCAGGAAGAGATTAGAGGCCAGTGCCATTAGTGGTGTGTGCTTTGTAACTCCCAGATCTCAGGCAGGGCAGTCGGCAGAAGGTGACCGAGTGTGGGACTCACTCGTGAGAGGCGGACGCTGGTGGCCATCCACACGAGACAGTCTCCAGATATGGGACTAGGAGTGGAGGCTTTGAGTCTTCAGGCTGCCACCAGGAGCGTAGGCGGGTAGTGTACAAGACAAAGGAAGGACCTCTTGGGAAGGGCTGACGTGGAGGGAAGGGGCTGGAACCATGGCGGCTTCTGGATAAGTAGCCCAACTGGTGGCAAGAACCACAGCGCCTGCAGGATGCGGCCACATGGGATCCCAACATCCCGGCGAGGGCTGGAAATAAATGTCAGCAGTCAGCACCAGTGTCCCTCAGGAACGCGAAGAGGCACAATGGCTGAGCAAAAGCATTATGTTTGATAAACAAAACTGTCATTCTGTGACTTTGGAGCACATTTTCATTTGCATGCTGGAAGCAGAAACCAGTTCACAGGAATTCAGGGGGGGATTTATCCATAGAGGGTGAAGAAGACAAAGCACAGGACGTCTCTCCCCAGCTTGTTGCTGAAGGGAGGGAAAAAGTGATATTCAGTACTTAGGATCAGTGAAGCGTCATTGCCTGTTTTCATGATTGTAGTAGAAAGGAGAATTCTAGGAAGAGGAGAACCAAGAAATCCATGGAGGGAAATATTAAGGAGGAAAGAGCTGGCCCAGATATGAGCACTGTGGGTGCACACTAGAAGAGGAGGGGATTCGTTTAAGTTGGAGGAAAAAAAGTCCCCTGAGTCTTGATGGGATGCTGAAAGGACAGACTGCATTAGAGCTGAGTGTATAAGAGGTGTGACTGCTTAGTGATTTTGTTCTCCTAAATATATGTGACAGGGGACAATAAAACAGTTTTTGCAAAATCCAGGAGATGACTTCCTTCTGGCTTGATATACTGACTCCTAGAAAATACTAGACAATGTTTGCTACCTTTCATTTTTAGGAAGAAAAATTCTTTTCTTTGACAAAACTAATGCATTTAATCCATAAAGATAAAACATTTAGAAATTAATGAATGTGAAAATTTTGCAGCCACACTATGATAATGATTTGTTTTTAACATAGAGTACAATCAGATTCTAAAATTTGTGTTTCCTTCATAAAAATGATGCAAACAGATCGTGCCTGGTATTAGGGCATTGAAAATGCAAAGTAAGTGTTTTTAGGAAACAGTAAAAAAATTACTTTTTATAGTCCACATATGCAGTTATGCAGGGCTAGTTCCTCTGAAACTAGCTAATCTTACCTAGATTAGTCCCATCCACATTTTTCCATATTTATGCCCATGAAATGAGAGACCATGGCCAAAGGACCCAAAGACTCTGTTACACGCTAGGAATGAGCTCTGGCGGTCAGATGGACAGACGAGTATGGCCCCTATTATGGGCACAGTGCTTGGGTCTGCCTAAAGCCATACGTTAAAAACCTGTCACCTACTTTATGGTAATAGAGGCCATTGGAAGGAGATTTCTTGCCCTTATAAAGATTGCCTTTAAAGTTGTCTTGCTTCTCTGCCATGCACCAGAGGTCTGTCACCAGATGCAAAGGCTGCCCGTCTGCCCGCACACTAATCTTGCTCTTCTCAGGCTCTAAAGCAGGCATCTAACTTTCTGTGCTCTATAAAGCACGCAGGCTAACATTTTCGCACAGCAGCCAAAACAGACAAAAACATGGACTGTAGCAAATGACTTCGGGCCTACTTTCAACTCGCTGAGAGTTCATCTTTTCACGGCCCAAAGCTCACAAAAATCACTATTCCAGGAGGTGTGTGTAGCTTCTATGTACAGTGTGCATATATATCTATATATCTATATCTATATATATATATATATATATATATATATATATGAAAGCAGCATACTGTATACCTTGAATACATGTGTTTTCTTTGTTGTCCAGAATATTTCAAATAAAGCAAGGGACTTTTTTACAGTGAAAAAGACATTTTTATTTATTTACTTGTGTATTTTAGGTAAGGGTCTACAGAGTGTTCAGGGTCTCACTACTAGATCAGACTCATAGTGGTCCTCCTGTTTACAGCCTCCCAAGTGCTGGGATTACAGGCGCTCACCCCCATGCCCAGTCTCAATTGCAATCTCAGCGCACCCAGGGGGCGGGGCCAGCACGACAGGCCTGGGATCAAACCCCTGGCCCCTGTGTCTGCTTGCAGACACTTTAGTCCACTGAGCTATTTGGCCAGCCCAAAAAAGACATTTTTATAGAAAAGAAAATTACCTTTTTTACAAAAAGGACTTGTATAAGGAAAGCAATAATTTAGTTTCTAAGAAATGTAATATTTACATATGCTTCGGAGTTCTCCAATTTTCTACTCAACATATTCTTTAAGCAAACACACTCAGTTTGCTTAAAGTTGAATGTAACATCCCTTTCATTATCTTTTCCTTTCTTCCTTATCACTGTAAGTGGTATTTATGACTCAGGTCTGTTACACTGACTTAAACTTCTCAGTAACCTATAGCTCCTCCTCCTCCTCCTCCTCCTTCTCTTTCAGAAATCAGCATGCTCACAAAGCTATGTGTCCCTAAAAATGACTCTTAAACCTGCTCTAATTTTTTTCTTCCATCTTGAGACCCTACTTATGGTTCTTATCGTTGCTTTTCTGAATAAATACATGAACCCATTAAATATCTTACCTCCATTTCCCTTGTGAAGATTCACCATCAATCCATGACCTGTCAAGCTCTTTGGAAGAACTGTGACATACAAT